TAATCTGTGTCGGAGGGTTTGGCCAACACAGCAAGGGGAGCCCCAACAAAGCCTCAGCTGTGAAAAGGCTTCAGGGATGCTGAGCCCAAAGGACCATCTACACCCAGCGATCATCGAGGGACAAAACCTCCTCCCAGTGGAGCACCAAGCTGTTTCACGTGGTGCAGAGGCCTCCCACAGCTCGTGACACAGATGAGGGAGGTCTCACATGCCATTAGGGAGAGGCAGCCAGAGCACCTGGCTCTGGGCAGGATGCTGGGGGCTCCCACCCCAAAGTGGGTAGTTCTTGTGGAGCAGGGACACTGCTGGATGGGACACACATCTCGCCTGCTCCTCTGAGCGCTGCGTCGCACTCTGTTCAGTTCCCACCCACTCCCCTATGTCCCAGAAATCAGGACTTGCTCCAGTGAGCTGTGACCAGCCTGGATGTAGCATTGGCCATCAGAGGAAATCAAATGCAGGCAAATGGCTATGCCCATGATTAATGATTAAGAGGTTGGAATGTCTGTGCCAGCTGCAGCCTGGGAGTGGCTGGAGGGATCACTCAGGATCTGGCCAATGCTGAGCCTTTGGCTCAAGGTCCCCAAAAAAGGACCAACCACCGACTTGGGCACCCCAAACAAAGTCCCCATTGCCTCCCCCTCATGCACAAGAGTCCTGTGGGACAGTCACATGTCAGACATGGAGTGATGCAAAGTGGTAGGAGGCCACAGTGGGTTGTCTTGTGTCCTAGCTGGGAGTCGGGAGCTGCACCCTGTCCTGGGAACTGTCCCACAGCAATGGCAAGCCCAGATCCTTCCTCTTCTTGTTCGGGTGTTGGACCGCGTAAAGGTAGGATGTGTACTGGAGCTCTGGCATGACCAGTTGCTGGCAGGTTCTCAGAGTCCTGTTGTCCACATCCTGCCTGAGGTTGTACCCCAGGATATTTGCAGCCCCTGACTGAAAAGGCAGGAGAGCTTTATTCCTGATATGATCCTTCCCCACTGCCTCTTGCTCCAAGAGACAGGTCTCCATGAGCTCCTTCTGTCTGGTTCGCAGTTGATCCACCTCCTCGTCTAGCGCCTCGAGCCCTATGGTCTCCTCAATTCTCCTCCAGAAGCTCTGGTTGAAGTGCAAGTAGAGCTTCCAGTCCAGTGAGCACCAGGCTTTTATCCGCTCCTCACTTTCCGGGGTCAGGGTGTGGACAGTGTCCTGGCTCCTGGAATTGAGCTTGAAGTAAACCACATCATCCAGGTCCCAGCACAACACGTGCTTCAGGAGGATCATGGACTCATCAAAGTAGTCTGCTATCAAGATGAGGTGGAAGTTCTGCTCAATCTCCTCCAAAACAGTCTGGGTGTACTCTGTGTCATTCTCTGCGTTGTTGTCATAGCCAAAATCAAACCACATGATATTCCTGGCATAGATGTTTGCACGGTGATCTGCTGAGTGGTAATACTTCCTGGGTGATGCTAAGTACTCATTGACATCCTTGGAGCTCCTGAAGGCAGGGACATTGCTCTTGTAGTAGATGTAGGCAGACTCCAGCAGAGCAATGGGGTTCCTCAGGATGGAGAAGTAGAAAGTGTTGGCTGCCATCACCTTTTGCACCTATTTGTGGGAGGAAGAAGAGGTTAGTCTGGAGGCTCTGCTTGCCCAACCAGGTTTCTCCAGAGGTGTCATGGCTCTTTCTTACCTCTGAGGGGTTAAACCGCAGGTGGTTGCACATGATGTTGTAGTTTTGGCCTATGACTTCAAAACCCTCCACAAAGTGAGCCAGGAAAGTATTTGGGTAGCCCAGGTGGAGCAGCTGGTCCACGGGGAGGGCCACGGTGAGGTTGTACCTCTCTGCAAACCTGAACATGATGTTGAGGATGGTGCTGCTGGCTGTCTTGTGGGTCTTGAGGAACATGACATTGGTCTTGGCACGGCACGGTGTGGAAGGGATCTGCAGCTCTGAGTGGACCTTTGAGATCTTGCTGGGAGGCCACAGATGGGGCAAATCCGGTGCCACACGCCAACGCTGAGACCTGGTAAAGCCAAACCTGAGCAGGTGCTCCCCAACACCACCACCTGCACCCAAACCAGCCCTGGCGCTCAAGCAGAGATGTTGGACTGTTTTCTCCTTCTCCAGCTTCTCCCTTACCCAAACTCTTCAGCTCAATCCCCTCTTCTCTCCCCATCCCGCTGATTTTGCCCCACAGACCTGCACTTTGGCTAATTCCCCACTCAAACATGGATCTAGGACCTACTTTTGGGCCACTGCCCTTCCAGCATTAGCCTAAACCTCGTGGGAGCTAGGTGAGGTGTCAGAGAGAGGTTGCTGCTGCCCCAGGCAGTGCAGCCTCACTCCTGATTCACTTACCCCTCATTCTCATTCCTCATATGGAAGAATCCTGACAGGAAAATGAGTCCCAGGCAAAGGCTGAAAATGATGAGACACCTAATATGCCTGGAAAAAAAAAAAGAAAAGAAGAGTTTCAGTGGGATTTTATCTGATAGTCCTTCCCCAAACCATCAAACTTCACCTCTGGAATTTTAATCACCAGGATCTCAGGTTTGTGTCTCTGTGGTGGCAGCCACTTTTTCCCCCCCCAGCTCTGTCAGCAGCTCTGGTGTTAGAGGCGAGACAGTGAGAAATTGCATTTTCACTGTTCTTCCCTTAGTTTTGGCCTTTGGCAAGACACACTGTGCTTCAGGCTCTTCCCACAGCCTCCTGCTCTGCTGCCTTGTGGTTTGTTTTTCTTTAGGTTTCCTGGGGCTTTACAGCTTATTCACTATTCAAACTTTAGAGCTTGCTCACTATTCAGACTTGTAGATTATTCACTAGAAAATGAGCCCTTTGTAGGGGTGCAAAGAGTTCCTTGGTGATGAGAAACCCAAGCTGCTCCTGTAACTGACGATGGGGATGGCACAGAAACACTGAACTGAGGGTTTTCCCATATAACTGAGATTTGTCCAGTCAGAAAATCAGTGAATAACCCAACAGCACCTGCATTAATCCTGCCCTGCTTTCAAACAGGGAGGCTGATGAGTGTGAGGGAGGGGAGAGTCTTTTCCAGCACTAATTAGGTAACCACCACGCACCGAGGTGTCCCTGCCCGTGGCAGGGGTTGGAATGGGATGGTCTTTAAGTTTCCCTCCAACCCAAACCATCCTGTGATGCCATGATCATCCCCAGTGCACTCTGCCTGGGACAGGGAGAGGCTCTCCTTGAGGTTTGCTGCCCTCTAAGAAGAAATTTTTCATCACCATCTGGATCTGACTTCTCTGATCCTGGCAGGTTTTTGTAGCTCAGTGTGGGCTGCACTCACAGGGACCAGCTCAGGGCACACTCAGCAGCTTCAGGGTGACATTCCCACACACACAGAGGGAACAAGGTGGCTGAATAAACCTCTCACAGAGCAAACTGATGGCACCTTTCCCTCCTCTGACAACAAAATTCCATCATTCCTTTAGAAATTCTTGAAAGCAAAGGAGCTCTTGGATCCTATCAGTTAAACCCCTGGAATGTTTCAAGTAGGATCTTCACCCAGAGCATACACACTCTGTTGTAAACACAGCTCTCCTGGAAAACAGCACAGGACCAGCATGGGATTCTCTGCCAGACCTTGCTTCCAGTGAGGAGTGAGTAAGACATGACAACTCCTTGAAAGTCTCTGCAGAAAAACGACTACATTTCAGGATCTCTATGCCTCAAATAGATGTCAGGGAAAGAAAACCATGATGAGAATATCAAGAAGCATTTGGACCATGTTCTCAGGCACATGACCCTTGGGGTGTCCTGTGCAGGACCAGGAGTTGCACCCAAGGATCCCTGTGGGTCCTTTCCATCTTGGAATACTCTATGAGTCTATGTCCTGCAAACCTGCCCTGGGGTTTCACCCCACACTGGGTCCCTGACACACCTCTGAGAGTGCCTCGAGGGCTGTTCCCTTAGTGACTCACACACACCTTCGTCACAAGACTGCAAGTCTCTGACCTGAACAGGATCATGGAATTGTTTAGACTGGAAAAGACCCAAGATCAAGTCCAACCATATATGTTGGGCCAACAGACACCATATCCCATGCCAGTAAAACATCCCCACCCTTTAATCCCCTCAAGACAGAGAAGCCTCACTGACCCGAGAGCTGTTTGCTGTTGTCTCAGAAGCAGCACAGGCTGATGAGTACCTGTTACTACTGAAGACAGAGCTGATATGTTACACACACATCCACAGCCATGGGCACAGGGATTGCTCCTCTTACACACATATCCACAGCCATGGGCAGAGGGACTTAATGATGAAGAGGAGCGAGATAATGGTGCACTGGGATGTGGCTGCTGCAATTCCTCCCTGCCTTGTGAGGATGAGAAAGGATCTCACCTGGGGTGTATGACACCCTTGCAGAGCTGAGAGCTGCTGGGAGAGCCACCACCTACGTTGTTTGGCCCATTGGTATCATCTCTGGCAAGGCAAGGCATAGCTGAAGAGAGAAAGCCCCAGCTCGAGCGTCACTGTTACCTCAGCGTCCAGAATACGCAGTCAGCCTGGGATCCCTTTGAGGAAGCACTTGGGGGTCGACTGCTAAGACACAAAATTCTTCCAAGGAGCCAAAAAATTCCCGGAGCACTCAGCAGGGATGGCACTGGAGGCTCCACTTGCCCTTCCAACCTGCACTGGGCCATCTCCCAGCTGGGAAGAAAACATGGAAAGCTACCCCTCTTGGAGGTGCCCCACTACAGATGCTTTAAAGCTTGGGACAACCTTTTGTTCCCAACAGACCTCTGTCTTGACCTAGCTTCAAATTAAAAGCCCTGGAAGACAGGAGAGAAATATTCATGGGGAAATTAATCCCTACCCTGTAGCAAACTGTAACCAAGTGTACAGGTCATTAACAACTTCCAGGGATTACCTGAACCTGCAAAGCAAGTTTCCATCCTGCACCCGAGTGCTCAGTTCCCTATGCCCTTACCTTGGAGTGCACCCAGGGCTCTTCATGCTGCTGCCAGCTGGGGAAATATCTCCTCTGCAAATCGACTCCGTACCCTTTTAGTCTCCTCTGGCTCTTAGTGACCACGTCTCTATTTCTAGCATCCCTTCACTGCTATAAATGGCTGGGATAGGTGAGGACAAAGGGAGTGGCTAGGTGTTCCAGGGGCGGGTGAGAATTAATAAGCCATGGAAAGCAGCAGCACAGGTGGAAAGGGCTGCCTCGGGACGCGGTGACTGCACAACTTTGCAGGGAGGGACAGGTGGAGCAGGGATGGAGGAGGGAGGTGAGGGGCTGGGGGCAGGGGCTGGGGAGGTCCCTTTGTCACCCTGCACGATGTCAGGTCACCTGGGGCCATGGTCAGTGCTTGCTGTCCCTTCCCTCTGCTTCTCGCTTGGTGGGTTAGGACTGCAATTCCCTGCCAGACACATTTGGTAAGAGGAAATTAGAGACAACAGCAAAACACTGTTCACCTACTGAAACTGCCTCTTCAAACCTTCTGGTACAAACACAGTTATTGCAGCTGGAAGTTAAGAGACCTGGCTATATCCAGGCCTTGGGAGAGAGTGCTATTGCCTCTAAACAGGCGTTATTTTATGGTTTGTCTCCAAAATTACTTTTTGGTGTTGTTAATATCTGGTACAACCTGCATTATGCAGGAATGTAAGGTTCATCCGAGGCTGCTGTGCACCAGCACTTCACAAATTGGGTTTGATGGCTGCAAACTGCCCTGGGAGAGTAGATTTGTCCCATGGGGCTGGAGGTGGGGTCATCTCCCCACTCCCCATGCCAGAATGAAGCAAATGCTCTCCTCATTTGGGTGACCAAAAGCATATTCACATCTCCCAGCCCGGAACCGAGGGGATTGAGATGTTGCTTGTGGTTGCCTATGGCCATGCCACGTTCCATGCACCTCCTGGTGGTCCCTTTTCCCTGCCCACCCACAGTGTCACCTTTCCAAACCTTGTATGTTGTGGCCCAGCCAACAGCCAAGTCCTCAGCATTGCAGGGTCCTTCACCTACGTCGTTACACCTTCAGAGTGCCCAAACACACAGCATTTCTTTTCAAACCACAGCTCCCCCAGACCAGCCCCAAGCCCTGAGCTTACCAAGATGCAGAGATTAGCAAGGTGTAGGGTTGCTTTCCTTGTTTCTTGGTAGAGCCTGAGTCAATGTGTTCTTTTATGGGGAATTTCTAGGGTTACTCTTGGCACAGCACCAGGTGCTGCTGGCAGAGGGGGCAGGTTTCATGGACCTCTTTCTCCTCTTATATTACAACACCTCAGCTGTGCCACTTCTCCCTCAGGAGCTGGTAGAGCCCACGGCTCACAAAAGCCCATTTCTTACACTTTTACAATTGATTCACTGCTCTTCTTGTGAGTTGTACATGGATTGTCAGGTCTGGTTACTCAAAAAAAATAATAATCGGTGGTGCCAATCAGGAATACTCAGCTCCATGTGGGGGTGGGATGCTCACAGCCTGGGCAGTGCAGGGCAGCCAGGAGCAGCCAGCTGGGACAGGCTGCTGGATTCACAGCTCCATCTGCTTCCACTTCGTGCTGGGGGGCTCAGTCCCACTCAGCTGCTTGTGCACACTCCCACAGTGGGATGGGGGAAGAATCCCAAGTCTGGAAGTGCAAAACCTCATGATAAAGGCAGTTTAACAGGTGAAGCAAAGCCAAAAGGAATTCATTCCCTGCTTCCCATTGCAGGTAGGTGTTCAGCTGTTCCTAGGGAAGCTCCATCATGCGTAACAGTGACTCGGGAACATCCCCTTTCCCCCTTGTTCCCAGATTTTCTTGCTGAGCACAGTGTCCTGCCATGTGGGACATCCCTGTGCTCCCCTCCCAGCTCCTTGCACACCTCAGCCCATCACTGCTGGGGCAAGTGAGGAGCAGAAAACACCTTGATGCTGTGCAAGCACCACTCAACACCCCTGTGCTTCCAGCACTGATCCAAACACTGCCCCAGTGCAGCTACTGTGAAGAAAGTTAACTCCATCCCAGCCAAAACCAGTACAGAGAGAGCCAAAACCAGTACAGAGACCCAAGTGTTCCTCACTGTGCCAGATCACTGCTTCAAGGTGTGGAGCATCCACATCATTCTAACATTTCAGACTGTCACAGAAAAAAAAGGAACTTTGGACAGGAAATTTCTGCCACAACAGTTTGTTCCCTGTGTCCACATCCCTGTACCCATCCTGCCTCTCCCTCCTGTACACAACAGTGCACCAATGTTTGGAAACAACACTGGGAACACAGAAAAGAAGGATAAGGATGGTGTTCAAGGTCCAGGAAAGCTACTGTAAAATAATTCTGTGCTTGTCCCCTCAGGGAACTGCTCTAGGTTTTATTGCAATGGTAAACTTACATAGAGCTTCAGATGTAAGGAAGAGGGTTAAATGGAGCAGTGCCAGAACTTCCCTGGCCATGGCACCAGGTTGTGTGTCAGCCCTGACTCTCTCCCCACGTAGCTGAAAACCAGGAGCATGGAAAGTTCCACTACCCAAAAAGAGCCTTTCATGTGGAAAGCTGGTAATTTAAACAGTGTCATGGTCAGTAGTTTGGGGGGAAAAAAAGAGAAAGAATGGTGTTGGGAAAAGGCAGAGAATATGAAAAGCCTGATCCGGAAAGAACGAGCTGCAGCAGCTTATCCTGGCAGAAAGCAAGTCCTGCATATTTCTTCTCCAACAACATCATGGACTTCCCAGATTTTTGCATCACCCCACACCCAAGGAGCTCAGGCTAACAGTGTTTCATGGGCTGTCTTCTCTCTGCTAATGATGGCAATGGTGTTCTAGCTGAAACAGAAGAAAAAAAAGACTGTGGGATGATCTTCCAAGAAAAGGCTCTGCAAGGAATGTTTATTTCATTGCACTGTGGAAGAGCAGAAATCACTGCAAAGCAGCAAATGGCGAATGCAGCTACTGGGTAAGACACCACCTTTTCTACTCTCATGGCAACCAGTAAGGCTTCCCAAACCAGTACCTGAGTATAAACCACCACGCACCACCCTGCGAGGCACTGTCCTGCCCAGCTCACAGCCCACCCAGCTGCTCTGTGTCTTGCCACCTTCTCCAGGAGAATCCTAGAACCACATGATGGTTTGGGTTGGAAGGATCTTAAAGCTCATCTCATTCCACCCCTGCCATGGGCAGGGACACCTTCCACTAGCCCAGGTTGCTCCAAGCCCCATCCAACCTGAAGAAGACAGTGGGAAAGATTACTGAACACTTAGCTAACATCCAGGCAAACAACAGCCACTGCTCTCCCCATGCCAAGACAAAATGTCAATTACTGCAGAAGGGTGGTCAGGTCAGTGGCAACATTTACCTTTGGCAAATCCCTGGGCTCCTCTCCAACATCACCTGCTTCATTTGGATACACAGAGTCTGGGCTAGGAGCGACCTGGATCAGGAAACGTGGATGTGACTGGCAGGCACAGGACAGCCCCAAAGATGACTCACTGTCCTCTCTAACAGACACTGTGGGTTTGTACAATAAACCATAAACTACACTTTGCAATTTAAACCAGGCTGTAACAAATCCCAAACCAAACAAACCCTTCCATCCTGGAAGAGACCCAAGACCATCATCTGGTCCAACTTCTGGAGCAGTTCAGGGCTGCCCTAAAGCTCCAGCATGGTGTGAAGGGCATTGTCCAAATGCCTCTCAAACACTGAGAGTCTGGAGGCATCAACCACCTCCCCAGGAAGCCTTCTTGCACTATTCGACCATTTGCTCTGCAAAGAAATACTTCCTAATGTCCACTCTGAACCTCTCCTGGCACAGCTTTGAGCCACTCCCATGAGCTCAGCACCTCCCTCTCCACATCCTCTCCTCAGGAAGCTGCAGAGAGCAATGAGGTTGCCCCTCAGACTCCTCTCCAAACCAGACCAACCCAGAGCCCTCAGCCTCCTCCCAGGACGTGACTTCCAGCCCTGGTACCAGCGTGGCTGTCCTCCTGTGGACACATCTGAGGACCTTCGCATCCTTCTCCAATGCTGGGGCCCAGTGCTGAGCACAGTGGGAGCATCCCCTCTCCTGGCCATGCTGTGTAGGATGTCCCC